CTGCAAAGGTTGCATACAAGCCCTGTATTTATCTGGTGACAGATCTTTGAGTGTGCTCACATGATAACTTTTCTAGAATGATAGACAGAGATGAGATAAAGGTATTGGTATGCAAGAGCTATCACTCAGTTGCTTCATCTACAAATGCAGCGGTTTCTGCTTCCCAATTTTCCGTTTTTGATTTCCTAGTATTTTCACAAACTAGTGGTGTTCTCTCTCACATGAATAATAGGAAGTGTCCGAAATTTTTGCAGCTGATCAGATGGAGCATTTAGAAGTTGTCCTGTTCCATGAAGTGAGACAGAAATGATGTCCAGATGAGCACACAGCCTCACAAGTTTAGCCTAAGACATTATGAAAACCAAAGGGAAACATTCATCATTCCAATCTTGAGCTGAATGAACCACAGTGGGATAACCTCCAATTGATCTTGGGAAAAACAGGGTTTATGTGAGGTTTTCTTGGTGACATCCCAAGTGACTTCTAGATCCCTGAATAAAAGAAAAGATGGATCTGATGGTTTGCATGATTCCCAATCTCCAGACTGAAATATAGTACTTCACTGAAAGAAAAAAGGAGGAGGAACTGTTCTGCATCTATTACACAACTTCCCTGCTCCTCAGTACAAATATTTTTCTAGCCTTCAGAATGCAGAGAGGGTTCTGAAAATCAAGCTGGGTTTCTGTGGATCAACAGAGGTGCCATTCCTACCTCACAGCTTTGCAGATATGATTAAAGCCTGAAGCACAATGCTGTGCTCCATGGGACACATCTGACCCACACGCTGCCTTTTCAACTCTCCTTCTTCTAAATCATGTACATTAGGAGTGAATAGGAAGAAAACGTGTAAACAAGAACAGAAAAGGTCGTTGCAAGTTCATTAATTCTGATCACTTAATAAGCTGTAAATTGAAGTGCATGAATTCCATTCTCTTGAACACCAGGATAAATTTGAAGAATCTCTATTGACTTAATTTACGCTGATATGCATTAGAATAGTTTCTGGCACAGTAAGAATCAAAATAATTATTACAGCCACATTCAGGACCAGAAGGCACCTAGTTCCCATTTAGTAACTAAATGAGGGCCAGACTTACAAAAGTAAAGAATTCATCAATTAAAAAAATTAATCTTCATTATTTTTTAAAGGTGGTGCAAAGGTATGGCCATGGAGCCTGCGAAGTTTAGGGCTGCAGGACTGGCCTGAAGAAGCAGGGTGACACTTTGCACCTATTTAATGAAAACATTGTGCTGTGCAAAAGAGTGACTACTGTCCTCTGTATCTGCTTCTCACAGAAGACAAAGATGAACTGCATACAGAGAGGCAGAGCTGTTTGAATAACTTTGTCAGGCCCATATTCAGAGTGGTGCTGATACATTTCAGAGCTCTTTGCTTGCAGGTCCCCTCAGAGGTCACGGGGACTCCAGGAAGATATCTTCCTATGCAAAGACAAACATTGTTTTGGAATTCTTTACTCTGTGGTTTGGATGCTGTCCATAAAATCTAACACTAGTTTTCTTGGAAGATAAAACAATTGGCCACTACCAGGGACCAAAAGGCATCCCAAACATCTTCACGAATACCTTAAGTTTCTGAAATGAAGACAAAGGCATTGCAGTGGGAGAAACAACCTGAGAAGTCTAAAAAAAAAATTAAAATAAATCACTGAGGCTGCTCGGTTGCAATGCCAAGAAGTTTCTGCAAGGAAGTCCCAAGAAGGCAGATCCAAAGCGATGCCCTTGAAACATGCGGCTGGAACTGTCTGGGAATGATCCATGACGTGTCTGGCGAGCTCCTCCTGCCGGCTGCTCTCCCGGAGGCCGGGCTCGTGCCGACAGACCCGGATTTCGGTTTGGCTTTTCGGGAAGCAAAGCTAATGCCACTTCTTCCTTATGGTCATAGCAGTAATGCCTCTCATATCTCTGCTCATGCCCTCTCAGACAGACGGCGGTGCTGCGGTCCGTGCCAGGAGCTGGGCAGAGCAGCAGCTGTGGAGGAGCCTGGGGAGCCCCAGGAGCAAAGGGGAGCAGGGCTGGCAGCGAGGACAGCAGGGACAGGACCTCGGTGTAAACGGGCACAGGGGCACAGTGATCAAGCAAGAACAGCAGAGAACTCTGGTGAGAGTGACCACATTTAGCCAAGAGCTCAGTGAGCTCAGGTCTGAGGCCAAGCCAGGAAGTCAAGTCAGGATCAGCAAGGTCCACAGGCAGGCACAGATACCCCTGCAGCCTACCCCAGACGAGGACTGAGGACAAGGGCAGCTCTGTGCCATGGCTCAGAGGCCTCAGAAGGCTTCTCCCAGCTCTTTGGCACACACCTCTGATCCCAGATTACACTCCACCATATCATGACAGACCTTGAGCACAGGCAGCCAAACCTGTAGGATGGGGAAAAGGGGTTGTGAAGTCAGCTGGTGCACCCAGGGCCCTGTCAACACACTGCCCAGCACAGCCAGTGGAGAATGTAAAAATTATTGGAAGTGCTGACAAAAGAACCTGGGTACAAATATGCCACACAGGTTGAAAGTGTGAAATAATGGCAATCTGTACTTCAGCTGTTTCAGGGTCTGGTCAGGAATGACCTTTGCAGGGCACTATATGTGTGCTTTTGTTTTGCCAGTCTGTTGGGAAACCCTCCTTTCCAAGCCAGAGTAAACTTAAAACTGCCATTGGGATGTAATGACAAAGCCCCTCCAAATTTTTCACCCGTATTTTAAACCAGAAAAACCCCAAATGTACACTAATCCTGGCTTCCCTTAAAAAATAATCCATCCACACCACATACTGTTCAACTGTGACATTTCAACTGCTCAGTTCTTTGGCCAAGCTATGTCCCAAAAGAAGAAAACAGATGAGACACACTGACACCCATTTCCTACCTCCTCCCTGGTGACATCTGCCATAGCCCTGCACTGGCAGGTCTCACAGGTAAGTGTGCCTGCATGGGGAGGTGAAACATCCTGAGGCAACAAAGCCCAAGTGGCAGGTAACAACTGTCTTCAAAAAGGGAGCTTGTTGAATCAACAGGGAAAGACTAACCCTTTGGAAAAGGGTATCCCTGATTATCCTATTGAATTACAACAGGAGAAATCAAAGACAGACAGACAGGGGAAGGGAAAAAACAGGAGGTGAGCATCCCAATAGTGTTCCCAGCTGGACTGACATTGATACACTGCTTAGATAAAGCCAGTCTGCCCTGGAAAGGCTGAGTGGATAAAGTAGAGAGCAATGGTCTGCTGAAAAAAGAACATCTTTTATCAATATTGATTAAAAAAATTCTCCAGATTACGTAAGCTATTTTGGAAAAAAGTCACCTTTCCAAAATGCAACCTGTAATTTTGCTGAGGTGGTCAGGGATATATTGTGTCTCCTTCCATACAGAGCAGTGAATGTATACAGGACTGCTACTAAATGTGGCTTCTCTGCCAAGCAATTGTATTCCTGTACTTTATGTTTCCAGTGTGAAAACTCTAATGAAACATTTTAAACCAAAGCCGTTTCCTTGGAGCTGCCTCTGACCTTCTTTTCCTTCTCTCTCAGCCAAATCTCCCTGCCAGGATGAATTCAGACCTAATGTCTGCTCCTCCCACCAGGCTTTTGGATATGTGACAATATCCTAGTCACTGGGAGCTGTGCCTGCTGGTGTCCATTGTCTTGTGTCCAGTTTGGGAGAGGGCTTTTAAGGAAAAGACCAGAATTAAATTCATGAAGAGCCCAATGATTTACTGGAATGACCAACCATGTAGCTACTTTCTGCACGCATCTATCAACAACTTGTGAGTCCTTAGTAATTAACTCACAGGGCTCCAGCATAGGAATGGTTCAAGGCTCAAGAAGAGCCTTTTGAAAGTTTAAAAAACAAAACAAATAGACAAAACCAAACTAAAAATGCTAAAAGGCTGTGCATCAGCTAGAGGGGGACTGCATACCAACCTGTTACATGTCCCAACAGGCACAAAAAGGGGTTACACACTGGCCAGACAGAGCTGCTGGCTGGGCTCTGTGGAATGCATCTGTCCCAGCAGTTTGGTGATGGGCACAGCACAGACGTGCAGCCTGAGCACAGCCACTGCTGAGCACAGCCAAGGCACTCTGTCATGACACTGGGGTCCCAGTGCAGTGACAGGAGATAACACAGGTGAAAGAAAGGAGTTGCTCGTAATGGAAATGCCAGGTGCATTGCCCAGGTAAAACAGGAGGCTCTGTGGGCCAGGGGATACAGACCAACAGCCACAGTGTGGCCAAGGCAAGGCCCTGGGTAATCCAACAATGGTGCTCATGGTATGATGGGGCACTACCAGAAGGAAAGCAAGTTACAGGCCTTATTTACAGTCAGCCACAATCTGTGGAAACACTATATGTATCATGTGTGCCTCACTTTTTATGATGTCATCTATACTGCCTGCCCTATATATTTTAGGTACATGAACAAATACATACCTTGGGAGAAAGTAAAACTTCTTTCTCTGTTATATCTCCTGTAATCACACTGCAGACAAGGTGCAAAAAACTTTGCAGATATCTATCCAATTCCCACATTAAATCAGTGAGTTACTTGACAAATGCTTTCATTTAAAGACCAACTACCTGCTAGGAATTCACAACTAGGCTTGAGCCTTTTGTCTTCGAACTCTTAACTTTTCTTCCTCAGCCCCCTGCCCCCCCTTCCATCAGTGTTCTGCAATTTGCCAGCCTCCTTTATGTCTCAGTTATGTCTGCACAATGTGAGGCAGGCAGACCCATGTGCCCACAAACAGAAAAGCTCCTCCAGCTCACAATAACTCAGCAGGCTGCTGCGATTTTCAGAGCCTGCATTACTGTGTGCCCATGTCTGCTGTCAAATTACTGCCTGGACCCGGGCTCCATGGCTAACCTCAGCCTTACCCCAAACATGAAACTGCCTCTGAGCCCTCAGGAACATTCATCTTCTCCTGCAGCTCTTCCTACACAAAGTGGTGTAAACCTGGCTGATGCTTCTAGGAAATAAAGAACAAGCTCACCCCTCCGAAGATGTGTTATGGTTTGATGGCCTCTTTCTGCAATCTGCTGAGAGTGGCTGTGCTCCATGTCATGCATTTAAAACACATCAAAACAGATTTGAAGGGTGGACAGTTCTCCTGAGGTTTCTAAAGGAAAATAGAGATGAAAGCCATAAAAAACAATCCTGCACACACAGCAGAGGTTGAAAAGTAAAATCTAAACATAAGTTAATTTTCCCTTTAGTGTAAGCTCTGGCAGTCCCAGGACTGTTCTAACTTCTAGATGCTTGTCATGGCTGTGACATCACAGCAGTGAGGGGAAACCCTGAGTACATTTATTACAACCTTAGCTGCCTTTCCTTAAACCCCTCATCCTGCCCAACTCTATCTGAGGCTGTGAAAAGACAATAATAATAAAACGAAGCTTCTCCCAAAGTTCCTACAAGGGGAACAGTTATTTTCCTGTCCTGCCTCACTGTAGATACCTGTACATAGGAAAGATGGCATGCACAGATCACACAAACCTGTAACTGAGGCAAGTCAGAGATGTTATTGACTGTAATTGCTGTTGTCTGTCTCGACCCTCTCCTCGAGGTGTCTCCACCTCCCATTATAATGTCACAGCTAAGGGAGTTCCCCGGTGGTCTGCAAAGAAGCAAAAGAGCAAGTGGTTAAGAGAGAACTGACATTGTTTACACAACATTAAAATTAATTCTAAATCAACAATTCAGAGAAAGTAACATCATTGCATAAAAGCAGACTAAAAGAGATTTCACTGATAGATGTGCTAACAGCAACATTTTGTATATATAAAGCATCCTGCACCCAAAATCCTCAAAATGTTTTAGAAAAAAGAACACACTATCTTTCTCCAGTGTTTGGCAGAAAAAGTGAGGCACAGGCATCCACAGGGTTTTGTCAAAGTAACTGACAGTTTACCACCAGAAGGAAGAACAGAATCCAGGCTTTTCAATCCCTTACTCAGTTATGTGCATTATTTTAAAGCAGCCCTTGGATTTACTCATTTTAGTGTAGGTTGGGTAAAAGGGAGCACTAAAGCAGAAATATACATGTGTTCTACATCTTAAACCAAGATTTTCCTCCTAGAATGGCAATAAGGATACTCTACAGCCTAAGGTTTTCTAGGCAGCCATTAAAGCCTTCATCCTCTTGACTGTGCTGGTAGCCAGGATAACCCCCAATCCATATTCTATGGCCAGTGCATGCTGCAGGAGGGAAAGATAACAAAGGCTGTGATAGAACTCCATCAGGGAAGTCCTTTTGGGCCCCATTTCCATCAGCTCATAAAAGGAACAGCCTGGACCCACATGCTGGGCTCTGCTAAGGCTGCTCCAGGCTGCAGCTCTTCATTTGCAAGAGAAATGACCCATTCGCTTCCCTCTGACCTCTGCAGACACTTCAGACTGCTGGCCTCATCTGCCCATGGCTCCCACCACTGCTGGGCATCCTCAAACAGGTGCTCCTGGACTAAACCCTCTGCCTTCCCAGGCAAGCCCAACTAACACAGCTCCAAGAATCCCAAATCAGGGCTCCCAGGAGGCTGCTGCTGCATGGGTTGGGAACGTTCAGCCCTCAACACATTTATTTCCTGTACAGAAAAGCAGAGGCTGAATGAAAAGGAGGTAAAGATGAGAGGGTGTAAGTTTAGCTTTGCCAGCTGAAGTCAGAAAACACACTTGCCTGTGTGAGTGTGCACTTGACAACACAGATCTCTTTGCTGAAACCACTGACAGCTACACCTCCTGTCACTGTGCAGGTGTTCAAGAAGGTCCTGCAGCCCCTGTAGACAACCTTTTGGCTGGTGACTGGCCATTCTCATCTCTGCAGTAGATTTCCAGACTCAGTGTTGTGTCCAGGGATGAAAGGTGATAATGCTACTTCAGCAGGGGAGTCCCCCTGCTTGCATTGCATCCCAGGAAAAAGACACATCTCTCCAGACATGCTCATCACCCACCTCTACCCTGGCTCTTGCAGCCTTATTACCAAGAGTATCACAACCCAAAGACTTCTGCTCTTAAGAGCCCCATTCTAAAGAGAAGATTACCCTGTTCCACTGCTAAGGACACAAAGGTGTTCAGTGGCTGAACTGGGAATTCAGTGCTGGTTTTAAGTCCAAGTTCAGAGTCCTACTCACTGGACTAATCTCTAGACAACAACATTTTTCAGCTTGGCAGAGAGGTGGGAGCCTTCAGGTCTGGAAGAGTACTGAGGTCCTCAGGTGGAGTCACAGATATAAGTATCACTAACTAATATCCTTTTCAATAAAAGTGGCATAAAACCAAAGGAAGCTAGGTCAGTTCTTCTGCTGGTCTCCAAAGAATACCCAATTATCAGCGTGAACATAACCATCTTTAATAAGTAAGCTGTTTTGGAAGCTGAACTGTTTGTTCCAAGTGCCACACAGACACCAGCTCTTGCTACTGGCAGAAGAGGCCTGTGAATCAGAGCCTGAAGTCTGATGCAAGAGAAGTTTGGGCGTCTCAAGCTGCTTTCCCCAGCAGAGAACAACCCTATTAGTTTGAGAAAGTCCCCTGCCTGCTTTCTCTCTGAGTAATTAAGAGTGAAATCCTCCTCTCAGTGACCCCAATGCTCTCAGCCTAGGCTGATTTACACATGAAAGGAACTCTCTGAGGGACTCTCTCCCTTTCACATTCACAACCAGGCAGGACCTATAAATAAAACCTTTCTGAAAACAGGAGCTTTCAAAAAGATCTGTGTATGTGCACAAATGTGTATGAGAGAAAGGGCATGGCTGTGTGCACTCGAGGATGTGTGTTTGCATGTGAGGCGTGGGTGAGAAGAATGTGCATTCAGACATCAGCCCCCCTGCAAACAAGTGTCCTCAGAAAAGTATCTGCAGGGATGCAGGAGTGTGCACAGGTATTGGGAGCACTTACAGGAGCCAGAGGGCATGTCTAGGCTGGTTTCCAGCTAGCACAGTTCCAGGGGTTCACCCAAGTCAGCTGAGTCACTCTGGAGTTGTACATGGAAAAAAAAAGAGCCAGTGAGAGCACAGTTGTGATGCACTTTCCCTCCACAAAGCAGTAAAGTACTTGCAGAACAAACACCAGTGGTTTGCACTGCTTTGGCTATAACATGGGAGGTAACAGGGAATCAGGTCTCAGGGCATGTGTTCCTATGGTTTTGACAGAAGGTGAGATTTTTAAATGGCTGCATCTTCTCAGCTGCCCAGGAGAGAGAGAAAAGTGTTGCATTTTCCAGGGCTGTCATTGTTCAAAAGTAATTTTTAGTTTTCTGGAACACAAACCCCCTCACAGTTTGAAAGATAAACACTGAGACTGACACCATGAAAAATGAAGGTCTGAAAATCAAAAGGACTGTGACTGCCTTTACATCAGTGGTTATAAACACAAAAATGCCTAGATATGGATCTCTACTGTCCCTCCCCCACTGTCCTCTTCATCCATGTGGCTGCACAGGATATCTCCCCTTCCATGAGGCCTAAGGAGGACCCTACACAACTTCCAGGAAGCTGGCAGTTAGTGTGACCCTGCCCTAATAAAAAACAGGTGAAACGGAGCCAACCGGGACAGACCACAGGGCTTCACAAAGCAGGTTCTGCTCTGTGGGTCTTTGCCCCTGTAAGAGGCAGTTTTTTAAGACCTGGCTACAACGTGATAATTTGAGAACTCCAAACTTCCACTCCACTCCTTCTGAGCAGCTGAATCATTTGCTTTACTGAAACTGTGCCCGTGCCCTGTGCTAACACCAGCAGTTGGGATGTACATGTGGTAGAACCACTGGAGCTGCTCCACTACTTGGTGGGAGACTCCAGGGGGTGAGAGAGGGGCAGGAGAGGTGCTGCACCCTGCACCCTTCTGACTTCATCCCTGATAATCGCAGCACTCGGGTCTCTCCCCTCCCCAATTCTTATGCAAACATTTAGAAAAATCAGGTAGAAAAAAAAAGGCACAAAGCAGGAGACATAAGGAGTGCAAAGCCTCACAGGAGCGCACAAAGCACAAAATGTCTCTTCTGCCCGTTCAAAAGACTCTTCCCCGCTCCTTGCACTAGGCGGGAGTGCGTGAGCAGGGATGCAGAGCTCCCCTCCCACTGAGATCGCAGCTAAAGCCCTCCCCCAGTTCCCAGGGTCTTCAAATAGAGATTTGCATAGTAGTTCCAGATCATTCCCGAGAGAAGGGACAATGGCTCTCTCAACGCCCTCTTTCCGCCCTCCCTCCCTCCCAAAGCTGATAAAGCCCTGGTGAAAAGGGGAACAAAGGATTTACAGATGTCAGAATATTGATTTCTGCCGTTCCAGGACTACAGGGAGAAGATGAAGGAAACTTTTGCCCGCAGAAACTCTGTGAAGTTTGAGACACAGGCGCTATCTCTGCAGCACTTCTGTCTATCTCAGCGTTTGTTAAGACAGTATCTGATGGAGGGAACGTTTCTATTCGAGAGGGATGAGCCTGAAAACTTGGAAACGCAGAGGCATAAGATTACAGTCTCCAATCCCAGAGAGCGCATTTGTTGTTCCCAGACCTGCTGAACGGAGAAGCGATTCCAGTGAAAGCAGTTTGCCACCAGGCGGGCCGGGCCGGCATTGCTCCGAGCGCTTGGGATCATCCCATCCCATCGGCGGCTCACGGTGTTATCCGTGCCCTGCTCTCTGCTATCCACCACTTCGGCTGGGAAAAAAAAAAAAAAAAAAAGAAAAAGGAAGGTGAAAAACGAGTCTTTGGAAAGTGGCCTTTGATTCTGAATCGTAGTGGAACCTCCCTCTCTCAAAACTCAGTACAGGGCCATTACCTGAAAGCTAAAGCCTCCTACTTCCACAAGCATTTCTGTGCCCAGTCCATACAAACCCGAACTTGCTTTTGTGCCACAAACATTCTTTTTCAGTGTAGTGAGTCAGCTTGACCTCTACTGAACTCCACCTCTACCAGCTCACTGCAATCATTCAAATTTTGCTAAACTGAACAGTGACATGACCCAAACTGCCACATGTCACTGCTGCACATCCAGCAGGAGACAGACACTGGGCAGCCAAGTCAGGTTAGGGGAGTTCTGGCCTGATCTCCACCTGTCCCACCACCACACTGAAATTTCTTCCTCTAAGTGTCTGGCCACCAGCACTTTATAGACATATATATATATTTATTTTCCTTCTCAGGGCTAATTCTGTAGCATTTATGCACTCAAAGGGCTCCCAGGATGCTGGATTTTTTTGAAAAATGTACATGTTGAAACTTGCTCAAAATACTGGATTTAGGCCCAGATTTTTAAAGATAGTAAGCGAGTGTCTAAATCAAGCTCAAGGCCCTCAGATAAGGCAGTTTTGAGAAAACACCCCCTTTCTGTGAGGCAGCAGGGCACAGCAGTGAGTACAAGAGAGGGTTCCCATGCCATGGGTCAATAATCCAGACAGAGCTGCAGAGCCAGTGCTGACTTTTCACTGCTTTTCTCCACGTGCTGTCAGGAGGAGTGCAATCATCACAGTGATAACAACCAACACATATTGCACTGTTAAACTTACTTCATATAACCACGTCAAAACATTGTTCACAATGCTCTTAAAATATCTAGGTTTCCTCAAATACCTGCCTGTCTTCCCTCAGCTAGAAGAAATTATTCACATGGAATCTTTTGTGTCTCCCAGCAGCCACTCCTAATTTACTCTACATTTGAATGAGACGTGAATCAGAGCCACTGGAGTCCTGACACACCTCATACAGAGATTAATCGCAGCTGTTGGGATGATAAAGACTAAGATACACCCATTTGAAACCAGTGTCACTCAGGCTGTAATGAAACTGCCACCACACTCAGGTTCAGGGCAGACCAAACCCCATTTTCAGTCGCTCTCCATGAGCCTCTTGCAGCTCTGTGGGTAGAAGTGCCCACAAGGGGCATCTGGAGCAGCTGTGCTAAGAGAACTTTTCCTCATGCCAGACAGAAATTTGCTTGTTTTGCTGATCCTTTGTTTTCTCTCATTTGTAAACATTAGTGTCTGTTGCTTACTTTTAAAGTTTTTTGCTACACGCAAAAGTAGTTTTGTTTACGTAGCTCCTGCTACAAGTTTGCTTTAGGACAGAGAACTTAATCTTGGTTTCATCACTGAAAAACTGTACAAAATAATTCTCGGATATTCTGTTCCCTTCAAAAAACCACATGCAAATTCCTTTTAAATTAAAAGTCTGATATTAGACATCTCATAAACCTGAATCCAAAGGATGAAGGTGGGGAAAGGCAAAATCTCCCTCCAGTGTGGATTTAGCAAAGCAGGTGTGCATGCACATGGTGAGCTGCAGTGGTTTGAGGGCTGTCCTGTACAAAATACATCATATCAGTGAAGACAGAAGAGCAGTTCTGTAGGTACACACAGTGCCACGTGGGAATAATTTCTCCTTTCAGTATGAAAGCAAAACTGTTCTTGAAATTACTTATTAAATAAAATAATATGAAAGCAAATTATTGGAAGAGGTAACAGTAATTTTTTAAAAAAGATAATAACAAAGAAACCAAAGCACTTTTAGCAGTTTAAACTGCCAAGATACAGCAAACAACTGAGCAGTAGTTGTATACCAAGCTGTGTTTCATAACAGCCTTCCATCATCCTGGCCATCTTACCATTCCTATATGCTACACAGTAAATTGGACACAAGCCCTGCTCCGAGTGATAAGGTCTGGTCTGAGAAGTCCCTTCCCCAAAGCCCTGTTTCTCTGCTTTCCCACTGTTAAAATATTTACACTCACTATGGGAATCCTCTCATTTTACTGGGGGGTTTTAAGCGCTGAAAACGTTCTCTCCGTTTACATGGCTTCTGCCAAAGGTCACCCAGCCAGCACCAAGCTCCAATGAAGAACTAAAATAGGAACTAGACATTTGCAAATTAATTACCATGGTTTTTTCCCTTGAAGTCTTGTGTTTATTCAAGTGATGTTATTATTTCTGTGGAATCATTCCAGGAATCCAAATAAACAAAAACACATTAGTGGTAACAGAACTGCCCTGTTCCAGGGGCCCTTTGATCCCCTCACGCCTGGGACATCCCTACAGCGCCAGAACTTTTCAGTCTCTAAACTATTTATTGCTCCCTGCAATTACCTGGGGGTGTCGGTCCCTTCTCCCAGGAAACGCAAGAGGACACAGTCTCAAGGAGTGCCACGGGAGGTTTACGTTGGACAATAGGGAGAATTTCTTCACAGAAAGGATGATTAGACATTGGAACGGGCTGCACAGGGAGGCGATGGGGTCACCGTCCCTGAAGTGTTAAGACTGGGCGCGGCACTGAGTGCCCTGCTCTGGCTGACACGGTGGTGTTGGGTCGCAGGTTGGACTCGATGACCCCCAGAGATCATTTCCAACCTAAACAACTCTGTCACTCTGTTTCTGTGTCCGAATG